CATGCTCGTGCTCCTATCAATTGTTTCAATGACTGTAGTGCTTTTTAAGTTTGGGAGATCTTTTGAGGTGAAAGGTGAAGGGAAATGGATTTGCACTGCATTGCAATCAACATATTTTGTGTGTGGTAAAGTTTTAAAAAGAGAGGGGAGGCACTACTAAAGATGCAGTGTGAGCAAAAGAAGAGAATTCCTTCCAGAGGTGAAAAGCAAAGGGGAGATTTTGCACAGAGCAGACATGATGGGGTGAAATTAATGATAAAAATTTCACGTTGTGGAAAGCTTAAAAAAAAGTGATTTAAAATTAGATCCAGCTCTCTGCTCACTATCACATTTCAAATTCCCTTGGAAATCCGGATAACCTGGGGCTCAATAAAAGGCTCGTTTATGAGAATGGGATTCTCTGATCTGTGTTGCAATAAAGGAACCTCAAAGTGAAATATGATGCTGAAAAGAGGAAAACGTCTTTTCATAAAGACCTCATGAAAATTCCACATGGCAAGAAAAAAAGTGATATTTTGTGCTTCATACATCAAAGTTCTAGTTCTCTGCATCCTTTGAAACACACTTGTCTCCTTCTCACAAGATCAAAAAACTTTATGGGAAAAGATTGTGCCTCTTGAAAGTAAGCAGATAAAAAGTGCAAGCTTTGCTCAAAAGGAGAATGTTGGAGTTTTCAAATGGAAAATTTGAGCGAAAACTGAAGTTCAGAGACAAATACTAATCCTTAAGGCTCTGAGCATCTCTGTATGCGCAGATATGGGTTGTGACTTTTGGTTGGACTTTTTGGTTTGTCTACTTTTGGTAGACACTAGGACTTAGGGCTGGATGGGACAGAGCTCCTGAAATAAAGTGAATACACAGAAGTCAATGATAAGCTGTGGCTGACATCACATAGACAACATCTCACTGATGCACAGCAGCTGAGAAGTGGCAAATGTAACTTTAAAGCTTATCTGAGGTAGTTTTCAGAGCCACAGCCATTACCTTTACTGAGCTGCAGGCCAGCAGTATCAAAAGTCAAAATGAATAAAATTAGCAGGCTACGAGTAAGAGGCATAGCTACTTAATAATCTAGTTAGCTCCTAGGGAAGTAAATCACAAAATCACAGCATGGCTTGGGATGGAAGGGACCTTGAGGCGTACCAGGCCCCAAACCCCTGCCATGCGCCGGGTTGCCCCCCACCAGCTCAGGTTGCCCTTGGGCACCTCCAGGGATGGGATATGTATAGCTTCTCTGGGTAGCCTGCGTCATGGTCTCACCACTATCTGAGTAAAGAATTGTTGCTAATCTAAACCCTCCCCCATTCAGCTTAAAACCATTAACCCTTGTCCTATCACTACATGAACTTGTAAAAAAGCCAATTTCCAGGCAGATTGCTTGACATACTGCCCTACTAAAGAGAAACCAGGAAAAAAGAGCATAGATCCACCCCGAAGACCCAAGAAAACCCCTCTGCAGTGTATGATTACATCTCTTTAGTGCCAAAAGCTCATGTTAGTGTTGTTTGTGAGCAGATTCCCATAGCCAAAAGAAAGAGCAACATGAATGTGCCAGCACTTACCTTGAGCTATGTCCTCCATGGAACATGGCCAACACAGGACAGCCAACACTATCCCTCACCCACCACTCTTGCTCAGCCAGACCAGGAGGAAGCCAGGGATGGATCTAGCTAGGACCTCCTAAGAACAGCATCTTTGGAGGCTTCCATTTCCTCCCTTGCTTTGCAGCACTGTGCTATGTGCAGTAATGCTAAAGCAATTACTTTTCTTCTTAGTTTTAATAGAAAAAGCCTGGGTTTTGTCCACCAAGAAAGCAACTAAGCTGGCCTTACTCTTGTGATAAACTGCAAGGTGTCAACACAGTTTATGCACTACCTTTTTAGCTAGAAGAGACCACAAATACCTGGTAAAGACAATGTACAGAAACGCACAAACATCTCTGGGCCTTGGATCAGATCCATCAGACCCAATGACCTTTGCGGCTTATTGCTGTTGTATTAGCTAACCTTTAACTAAGTCCACAGTACTTACTCCCCAGCCACTGTGTACTTTGCACTATAAACACAATCTCTGTTTGGATAGCTTCCAAATGAGCACCTGAGATGGATGCACATCTGAACACAGAAATGAAAACTTCAAAATTCTTGGAAAGACCTGAATACAAGAGAACAAACGAGTTATCATGTAAAAAGTGATTTTATTTTATATTTTATGAGGAGTTTCATAGTGAAAGTTTCCTGTTACTGAAAGGAAACAAATACAAACTAGCAAGCTTATACATCAGTAGTGAAACGTGTCTTTCACAGTGCTGCTGTGATCTGTCCTTGTGAACCTGACCATGGTCTATGCCTTTTTGTCTTTGCAACAACAGTGACAACAATATTGTTTAGAGAGCATTAAGAGGAAAATTGGAAAAGAACAAGATGGCCACAGATATAAAATAAATTAAAAGTATCTGTAAAAGTTTTTTTCCATATACAAAATAATTTTTTTTTTTTTTTTTTTTTTGCTATTTTTCTTTAATTGGCATTGTCTGTACAAACATTTGCTTTTAAAAAGAAACCATTTACAAAGGCTGTTTTTACAAGGAGGAATAGGTCTCTCAACAAAAAGTCCAAACTTTTGCAAACTTCCACGCATCTCCTCCGAGATGAACATCCAAAGCTTTTGGACCAGTCCTGCACCAGAGGAGAGCGATTCATGACCCCATGGGTATGTGGCACCTCACAAAACGTGCTCTGCCTCTGCATAAAAGTAAAGCCATAAAAATAATGCACAGGCATTAGATGCTATATAATTAGATGGGAAGCAGAGCCATTCATCAATTTACAGTATTTAAAAAAAGAGAATATGTGGCAAAAGCCCCTCATGCTGATTTAAGACTAGAATGGTGATTAATAACATTGGTTGGATTTTTTTTTTTTTTTAAAGTCCTTACTCATACAACGTTATATACAGAAATCATTGTTCATGTGATCAACATCTTACAGATTCTAATAATGGCTTTATTTAGAAAGCTGCATGAAAAAAACACAGATACAAAAACAAGTCCTGTACATAAATCGTCTCACACACAGAGTTAACGCTCAGCCTAGAGCTGGAAGAGGCAGATCAGATTTTACTTCGAGGTTGCACCTGTTCTGCATTCCACAATTATTGACAAAGAGTGGGTGTATCCCAGTGACAGCCAAGCAGAACATCTTTGTGCTCCTTTTCAGGTGATGCTGTTAAAGCCTTAGATTACTAACATACAGCAATTGGGTCTAATAGCTGTGCTAGTTACTCTTGCTTAATTGCAGCCAATAAGAAGGTCTCAGGCTGCATTATTGGGATATTCTCCTCAAGCAGGATAATGGAAGGGCTCTGAGCCTGGCTTGCAGCTGGGACTAATCTTTGCTGTAACTTTTTTCTTTTTTTTTGTTTTGTTTTGAAGTAAAACTGCCATCAGCTTCCACTGAGACTTTGCACAGTAAAAAATGATTGCTGAAAGGATCCTGGATTATATGATCCATGTCCACACCTCTCACACCCATGCACATGACTCAGATTGGTAAACACGATAGCACCAGTGACCAAACACAAGAATCAATCATCAAGTGTTTAAATTACCTTCACATAGCTATGAAGCTGCAAGGAGGCATTCACATGGGAAAGCTGATCAACTTCAAAACACGGAAGAACCACTGATTCCAAAATAGAGAACTGAACTCTCCTGACCGTGGAGAATTAATTCATTTCCTATGAACAATTTCCCTTTAAGCACACTACAGTCAGTTATGCAGATAGTTTACCCAAAAGATAAATGTTTACTCTTTGCACAAACTAAAACATGGTTCTTGCCAGCCAGAAGTGCTTTAAGAAGCTTCACTCCCTATGGAGAACATTACTGGAAACTTGAAGCTTGAAGTGTTCCTCTGACATCCACTCAAAAATGGAACCAACTTTCTGCAGAGTTGCCTATGATTCATTAGACACTTCTTTCCCTGCTTTTAGTTTCTCACATTATTTTTTCCCCATCAAAAGCATGTTTCGTATTTTTGTTGTGCAAAAATTGCTGGTAAGAAACCTTAAATTTAAGAATCTATGACAGCACAGGTACAACACATTTCCAGAGCAGAACCAATGAGAAAAAGAAAAGCTGCTATTTGATTAATGCAACACCAAAACTCACCAACCAGAGCTAATTCTGGTAAAATAACTGTCATTAGGGTATACAGATAAGAGTTACGAACCAAATAATTTCATGTTAGGAATTAACTACCATAACTTACTCATAGATTATTTGCAGATATGCTCTAGAATATCTCTTATGAACACGTCAATAAATGCGACACTTTCATACCCTTCACCTGCTGAGTTTCTGCAGTGGCATGAAAGAGAAGTCTTTCTGAGATACCACAGTTTCCCATGCAGCAGAGATACGTTTTGCCTTCTTCACCCAGGGGCAGTGACATCTTGTAAGCTGAGTTATGAAGAGCATATTATTGAAAATGAATGCATGCATGCAATCAGAGACATGTCATACCAAGGAAACAGATATCTGAGTTGTGTTGTCTATGGCTGTTGGAATGTCAGATTTGTTTAGTTTAGTTTTTTTTTTTTTTTTTTTTTCTTGCTGCATTACTCAGTAAACTATGATGGAAAGCTTAGGTTTAAAATGAATAAAAGTAGATTTCTAATCTCCCTTCCCATCAGTCACCAGAAAAATGGAGACAAAATTTAACAGTTACTGTTTCCAAAATCATGTACAAAAATAGATTAGTGTGTCCTTCTGACAGTCCCCAAAACTTCGAAGTCTTCTGTAAATTTCTGTTTCATCTCAGTTTCAACAGCAACAGTCAGTCCCCATTGCCATGACTTAACGCCTCAATGAAATTTAAAGATGAATGAAGTTCATGTTCCCATCCCTTGGAATTGCAATTCAGAATCCACTCCATTTTCATCTTTCTTTGTTTGGATTTACTTCTTCCCCTCCCCACCCCCCCGAAGGAAACGCCTTGGCAGTGCAAACAAAAAGTAGAAATCATGAAAAGAACACCAATGAACAGTGAGTGATCACCTTAGTGCTTCTAAAGGGTCTTCTGAGATGTTATCTGCACGCGCAGGATTCTACTGTCATGTTGGGATACACCTTGAGAACCACATTCTTATTTTCATCAAAGAATAAGATGCTGAGAGAGGACATTTTGTCAGGAACGCAGCACGGCTCAGGAATTCCAGGGACAACACCGACAGCTCTCACTATGCTCTGGATGGTGGCGTGGTTGGATGGCTTCAAGGCCTGCAAGAGCAAGATAAAGCAGAAAATAGAACTGCATAAATGTTAAATACATACGCTCTAGAATAAAATTTGTTTCCTGAAGAAAGGACCTGTGGATGATTGGTTGCAGAGTCCAGTGCGCGCAACCATCTCCAGTTGTCACCATAGGTGGGAATGCAATTCCGGTGCAGTTCTGCTGCCACTGGATGTCACTGCTGCTCCACTGCCTTCAGCTGGAGCATCCCACTGGGGACATGCCTTCCCAGGAGAATGCCCAGGCAGCAGACCTTGCACCAAGGTGCATCTACGGGTCAAGGCAATCTCTTCTGCTGTGAATTCAGTTTCAAGTGGGCTGCAATTTTGTCATAAAACTTGAACAGCTAGGAGTGAGGCAATCAACATGCTAGCAGCACTATTCATTGGGGGAGCAAAATAAATATAACTTTTGTGCTGGGAAATTAGTGTGAGTGCATCAAGAAAAGCAGAAGTGGATAGAATGTATACAGTGGACAGTACAGAAATATTGTATGTCACGATGCTAATTGCTCCAGTTTTCTGTCTTCTAAGGCTGGGTTGTTCTGCTCATCCTTCTAAGCCAGATCACTGATATACATAAATCTGTAATATACATCAGCAACATTGCTGAATAACTGAGCCCCCAAAGCCCACGTCAGTTGTACCTCATCTTACAGTAACATTTTGCTCCAAAAGACAAAGCTTCCTGGATTGATACTCATGTAAATTGGAAAACATTGTTGGTTAATATACATGAAAAGTGATTCTGACTACTGGGTTAACTATCTTTGTTTAAAAAAAAACAAACGAAAAATTACACATACAAAAAAAAAAAAATCCGGAATTTGAATATATTCATAAAATGAGAAGTCAATATATTCTGAAAAGTGAAAAATGAGTACGTTAAATTTTACCTCCTGAGCACATTCAATTCCAAGTATCTGTAGTAACGACACGTGAGCATGAAACATACTTGAGACAGTTTTTAGCCAAGGAGTTTTGTTTCTGTAGGAGTGAAATGTTAACGATGCACTTGAGAGCTCATCTTATACACGTGCCTAGGAATCCCCTGGTTAAAAAATATGCTCAGTCAGATGTCACTGAGAAATACACGCAACAAGATCAGCTGGGCCACGTTTTTAGTTTTGCTGGGATAAGAGATGATTTGCCTTGGGATCAGCATTGAGGGTCAGATATCTGCCTGCTTCAGCCTCAATTCCTGATGACCTTGTATGCAAGAAATATGGCTGTAGATATCCCAGCGTGGTTACAAAGACATTACTCTCAACCTAGCCAGTAGATCCCACAAAAGGCATTTTTATTCATTTGTTGTCTTTTAATTCAAGAATACCAATATTCCTTAGCAGTAAAAGGATTTTTAAAGTGTCTTTGGCCAGTACACAGCCCAAATTTTTGTATAAGTTCTTTTTGCAAAAACATGTGAAAGCAGCCAGGCTCGCTCCTTTAGTCAAATCCAGAGCAGCATTCTACACAAAATCATTGGGAACCACACGAACACCCTAGGTGTGCTGATAAATGCAAAGAAATAAAATATCTAAATGAGTTTGAGATATTTCCCATTGTTAATGGTACTGAAATTAAAATCAAGTTTCAGTAAATGCCATGTTAAGGATTCATCAGAAACCATTCATTTCAGATAAGGAATCTATACCATCAAAAATGTTTCGGTTTCCTAAAAAGTGCACATTTTGGTTTTCCTTCTGGCTTTCCACTGGACAAGTCTGAAATTACCAGGGATAATTATAGGGTTCTGAGGAGGAGCCTGATAGTTCCCTGGCTCATGGCACTACGCCCCTTGGTAATGGCTGAGGTTTTGATGCAGATTATCAAACAATTCAACTCTGTGGGTGGAGTTTTAAACTCTTTCAATCTAGTCTTTTCAGGCTTGGCCCAAATACACGTTATATTCCAAGGCATTCTTCAGAGTAAGTGTGGTTCTTTTACACATAGAACTGATTTCAAGAATTGCCTAGGCAGACTCAGATATCAGCCTGGATGCATTCAGACACAGTATGATAAGAGAGCTAAGCAAGAAGTCTCTATCTGATACAGGTGTACCTTACATACAGAACATCCCCTGTGCTGACTTCACATCTGCCATGCACACTGCTCTTAGAATGCACTCCTGAAGATAACCAGCTCTGGCACAACTCCCTTGCTGTCAGCAGGGAATATAACAGTAACTGCAGGAAAACCCAAAGACAAGTGCTTATGGGAGAACTGAAATCCCCCTCTGGGCACTGAGGCATCATGTCCTACACCTGGAGAGGTGGCTGGGTCACTGCCTTCATGCTCTGTCCAGAACACGCTAATGAAAAGCAGAAAAGATTTTCTTGTAGGAGGTGAGGCCAAGAAGAGTAGTGGGAGGGAACAGCACTGAGTGGACTGTAATCTGCCAAATCTGTGAATGAGCCCAGCTGTGGCCAGGGCTGCACCTGCTGAGCTGTGTGCATCCTTGGGAGACTTGCTGCCCTGTTGAGTTTCATTAGAGATATATTAGGAGCAGGGCAAATGATGTCAGTTATGGGCTTTCATTCCTGACTTGGGAGAAGGTCTGCCTGGCTGTGTGCTCTACAGTGCTCTGTAAGCCCAACACACACATATAACAGCAGTCAAAACAGCTAATTGAAATCAGGGGAAAGGTAGGGCCAGAAAACTAGGAGGTGGTGAAGGAGGGAGGGGGACGAGGCACATCTGTTCCTAATTACCCAACAGGTTGTCAGCTTTAGGAGCTCGCCCTCAGCAAGGGAACATTATATACCCAGAGGCACAGATTAGTTTGTTATTGCCTGATGGTTAAGGTATCATTTTGCAAACACAGGCTTATGTGTAGCACCAGATATTATATGGCTCAGATATATATGGCTCAAGAATAACACATGGTTCCAGAAGACACTTGCTTTACCTTTATGTAGAACTCAGCTTTTCATTCTCCTTGCAAACAAGGTTATTTTGTTTGATGTGGACAGAATGAACAATCTGAATCTCAGTATGGACAGATATCTTTGATTGCTTGCAAGGTACTAGGCTCACCATAAGGTCTCAGTTCTCTGCTCTCCCAACGAGCTATCTCTTTGCAGTACATGGTAGCAAGCATTCATCTTCACATCACCTATGTAACTATAGTGCTCTAAAATTCTGTATTCCTTACCCACCAAGTATAGGCTATTATTCGCACAAAAATGCTTTTGTTGTGATCAAGCATGCATGTGTGATGCACTGTTTTCTCCTAACTAGAATAACATTCTTATGGTTGGAATGAAGTTTTTATAACAATACCTGCAATAGGAAATGCTAACCCACTTTTAAGTAGAAGGTATAGGGTATTTGAATCATTTGTCTGCCCTTAAAGCTAGAATGAAAGAAATCGGGCCCACTGCTTTTAAAATTTTTAACCTGCTTGGTGTGTAGTGCACGTTTCCCATCAGCAATAAAGGCATAATGTAATTCATGCAAAGGTAATGACTTTATCCCTTGCTATTCCCTTTCATTTTTTTTCCCCTTTGATCCAAAACTATAAAGCCTGACTGAGGGAGTCAGGCACATCACCTCCTTCCAAAAGAGATTCATCCCTTCTTCAGCTTGCTTTCCTTGGGATCCATATCCTTTGGTACAATTCTTCACCTGTCATTTTCAAAAGGTGACTCTCTTGAGTCCTTTAGCCTCAATATGGCAGTAATGCCTCCTGAGATGCACATCTTCCTAGTGGGTGCTCTACCAATTGACCCTACTGTGGGTCTTGCAGCAAAGACTTCTTCATGGCATGACTACTACCACCTAATAAGTGATTTTCTGAGTCTGGCCTATATTATGTTTATTAAACAGGTTCATAACAAGTTCACACATCATTAGCACTATCCAGGAAATACTTTATGGTTATTTGGGCTCTGGACAAAAAAATAATATCATCAGGTAATACTTTTTAAATTATCTTTACAAGCCTATTTTTTTACTAGCTGTTTTAACCACTACTCTGTGCAGTACAAGACAAAGACACCACTTATTTACCATATCCCCGCATATAACAGGTGACCGGCTGCATTTCACTGATGGAAGGAAAGAAAAGTGCATTGCTTACGGTAACAGTACAAAAAGATCAACAAACACAGTACCTTTGGAATTGGGAACTGACATTCCCCTGAGCAGTAATAGGCATCAAAGGATTTTGGGGAAATAATCCACTCACTCCAGCCAATGTCAGCAAAATCCACTTTGAGATAGCGTCGGGCACAATACCGGGGCTCGTTCCACTGCTTCCTCCTCGCCTTCTTCAAGGTCTGCTCATCAAACTGGAGAGTCTGGCTCTTCTGGTGGTGGTTCTTTCTCTGCTTTTTCTTACTCTTTGCTCTCTCTGCCAGACGAGGCTGGAAAGTTTTGTACGGTTTTCTGTCTTCCCACCTCTCGTCCTCATTGTACTGGTACTCGGCTCCGGGAAGCTCATTGTTCTGCAATGGCAACAGGACGTTGGTGGAGCGTTTTCGCCGCCGTTTTCCAAGGCTGCTCCTCATGTGGTTTTCTGGCCTAGGGAAGACCCTTGCCAAAGGGTTGTGGTGCCCTTGCAAGCTAGAAACAACACTCTCTGGCTCTGAAATGGCAGAGTCATTGGCATATACCAGAATGTAGGGCTCATAGTGAAATAGTGCCCTTTTCCACAGGGGATGGCTGGTTGAATCCATTTTGACGCCAATCAGAAGTTCATTGCTCTGTTTTGCTTTGTGTAGGACCTGAGTGATATCTTTCCACTGCCAGGAAAGGACATCACCGTAAGAACTGGAGATGTTTATTAAGAAATGGCCCAGACTCTGACTCTGGTTCCCAACAGATGGAAAGGTCCACACCGAAAGATGTATTTGAATTTCAGGTTTCCTGTGCCCACGATGAGAACAGCCTCTGGACCGGGAACAATTCCAGTCAGAGTCCAGCAGATCACTGATATAATAATGCAATGAAGCTGACAAGATATTTTCTGACTTGGTGAGCGAAGTCAAGTTAAAAACATACAGCTCCTGACTTCCAGGGCTCCCTAGAAAAATAAATATTTAGATAAGATAGATGGCAATTCAAAATGTCACGGAAACCAAAAGGAACAAATGTATTGCTTTCTAGGTTATAAATTAAGTTTCTGAGAAACTTTCATGCAGTGCTTTGGGAACAGGTTTAGGTTACTAGTCAGAATCATGACAAACATGGTAAACTGGTGATTTTAAAATCACATATTTACTATCTGGTTATATATAACGCATATCTCAGCCTAAAAAAACTCATATACATTTGCTACCACTCCTCTGATTTCAGGAAACAAACTAAGTCATAGGAACACAGCTTGATAGTAGATGCACTATAGACTGTACCTATAATCCAGAAACTTGTGTTTCATAGTCAGGTTTTGAGCTTTCTCTCTCTTTTTTTTTTTTTTCTTTCTTTAATTTTAAATACATTCTTCCCTCTCCCAAATGTACCTTGAGTAATCATGACTGCTCTGGCCTGCCAACAGGTTTGTTTTATTTTGTCCAAGACAAATGGGATATCAACAGCACTGAACCACACCCTAGTCCAGATACAGCTGATGCTGGAGAAAGGCTTCCACTGGCTTCATCAGGCATTTGATTGTCTGTACACCTCCACCACACTGATGAGCCACAGGCCCCTTGTTAAAAATAAGGAAGTGAACCTTGTCCTAGTGATATCTCAAAAGCTGATTATTTGACATTTTTGTCTGGCTGAGGAATTTTACTCAAGGTTGACGCTTTACTTTAAGTTCCAGATGTCCTGCCTATCTCAGAAAAACAACCTTCCTGAGATGGGATGTTTCTCTTCAAACATCCAAGATGGCCATAAATAAGAAACAGCAAGACCAGACATCCTTGAGGTGAGGCACAAGTCCAAAAAGGTAACCAATCAGAAAAGATTAGGCATCTTTGTGCCCAAATATGGATAAAATGAGGAGTGGGACATCTCCCTAAATGACCACCAGAGACCATCAAACACCCCCATGCAAGCACAGAAAGATCAAATATGTTATGTAATCTTGTACTTACATAATATGAATATGTAATAGATAGGTGTGACTGATGTATTAGGCAGACGTGTAGTCAAAGCATTTTGGATTATAAATAGAAGCCAGGGTAAATGATTTGGCATGCTTCACTTTGGGTATTTCCCATATTGTGCAGAATAAATCAGTGTCTCCACTCTAAACACTTGTCTTTTGGAATATGTTGCCACGGGCTTTAAAGTATACTTTCACATATGCCATTTGACCTATGATTGCCAAATTGTTTATTGCAAATAAACAATTTTATTTATTGCTGGTTCCCCTACACCCTTTGCTCTGCTCCTCTGTGATCTGGGCACCATCTACAAGATGGAGACCTGAGGGCCCGTGGGTACAGCTTCTATACCATGAGTCTGTTAAACAGGGACTTAGATATATCAAATGTTGAATATATTTATATGTACTTGTCAGGATGCAAACCGGGCAAATAATAAAGTACAGCACATACATGTACTTCAAAAGCTAAACCAAAAGACAAGCTGAAATCGTGTGTTACAAAGGATGCCTCCTCTCAAAGTTTACAATTTCTCAGTTACACTGAGATCAACTTATTGGCTCCTCAAGTGCCCAGTCACATTTGCATACACAAATTCATGACCCAGAGCCCTTCACAAAAGAAAGGGCAGAGTTGGGCATGGAATAAGCTGACAACAATCTTGCACATGAAGAATGAATATCCCTTGCCTTGAAAGACACTGGGAAGAGAATCAGGCTAGAATAATTGTTTAATAATATTTAAAGCTTAGATGTCAGTATTGGATAGACAATTCACCATTTGTAATGAACTAAAAACACACAAGCTTGTCTGACAGTCTTTTGGCTAGGTCAGATACTAATCACAAAGGAAGTTTCCCTCTAGAGTAATCAGGACCAGGACTGCTTCAATTACACAGGATAAATTCACTCATTCTACCTAAAGCATTTCATCACGTTTCGAGACAGCCAGTTAGGAAGTATTTACTAATGCAGCTGGAGATAGGCAGATAGCACCAGAGCAACCCTAATATCCAAAAGAAAGCCAAACCCAAATAACCTTTTAGGGCGGCAAGAACGGGGACAGATGGTGGCAAAACGCACCTATTCGCCTCTGTGCAGATAGAAATAAGTCAAGGAAGGACAATATTTCTTCATGATCAGGATGCTGCTATATCAGTAGGAGGGATGTGGTGCCACACGAGGTTTCCATAGCTGTGAAACTAGAGAAGTCAACTTAGCCACAGGTATCTTGCACAAACCCAGTGATGCACTCCTAACCCAGGCTGATCTGTAGGAACATTTGGCTAACTGTTAATCCCCTGTAGGTTGTGAGAGAAAGTCTCAGAGGTGAGACAATTTTTGTTTCAAAACATCCTGGTTGAAAAGCAGCTACATCTGTCCTTCAGAGTGGGAGAAACACAGGTCCATATATTCAGATGCTATCCAGAGCTGTAAATATATAGATAGATAGATAGCTTTATGTTTTGAATGACATTCTGGGTGACATTCTGTGCTTCTGGATGCTAATGCTAAAATTGCCATTCAGACCAAGCCAAACAAAAGACAAGATTCTCTCTCTGCCTTCTCATCTCAACCACCCAAATGACCTCTTTTTTTTCTAAGAATATTTCTAATATTCTAAACAATATATTTAAAAAGGACGAATCAGCCTAGAAAGACAGAGACCTCCTCCCCTGTGTATCACACGCATAGTTCTGGAAATATGGGAATAAACAAACAAACAAACAAAAAAAAAATTGAAACATAGACTTGTCTTGGTGAAACGGGAAAAGAAAAAGCAAAATCATTTATAAATAAGATATTGCTGTTAACACTGCTGTATTCAGCCCAACTTGATGGTAAAACACATAAGGTCCTGGTAGGTGTGTTCTCAATATCTGAAAACTAACGTACTAAACTCATTCAGCTTTTAGCTAGTAGTTATATGTGGGATCTTCCTTGATTTTGAACCTAGTTTTAATTCCTGAAGGCTGAAACTGGCTACTTACTACCTTTGCAAAAAGCACATGCTTCACCTGATCTCTGCTTGGTTTGTAATCACTAATATAATAAGGTTAACATGTAACTTGGCAGAGCACTGGGTACATCGGCCTTAGGAGCCAGAATTTATGATGTCTCATGCATGCTTGTTAAAGAAGTTATTATTTGAATCACTGCTTTATGTCGAATGACAAGTTTTTATTTTAATTCTTTAATAAGAATTCAATTTAACCAATGTTGCTGTTCCTAAAGTGGCCTATTGTGGTAGAACACAAAATAAGCTGCTTTTGTTTGTAAGGAAACTCTAGCTGCCGTGAAGCAGACACAGGAGGAATATATACTTTTGATTAAAAGTAAAACCCAAGAAGCCACTCTCAGTACTTAACTCCACACTAAAGCATACTTGCAGTAGGTGGAGCTATTTTCTCACCGAACACCTAAGAGACTTCAACCACCCCTAAGAGACCTCATTCATTCACAAAATCACCTTCAAATAGACGACTGGCATCCAGCACAGACATCTGTGGCTTAGCCAGGTTCCAGCTCAGGAAAACCCAACTGTGTGACCTGGGATTCCAGGTTACAGCTTAAGAGCACTGTGTCACGCGCATCCTCTGCGTGAGTGATACCTTCTAGTTCTTATTTGAAAGGAGTTTTGCCATCCTAGCTTTATTCTTTTATAGTACAAAAGCCTTCTCAGCAACCAAGTCCATAAGGAGAAGATATAAGAGGAAACCAGCAAAGGAAAAACATGCTGAAGGAAAAAAATTCCATGCAAGGAATATACTTCTACCTTCCAGACAGAATCACACAATTGTTTGGTTGGGAAGGGAGCACTAAAGGTTATCTAATCCAATTCCCCTACAATGAACAGATACTCTGGAGCCAGATTTTAATGGCATTTCTCACTCCCAGTAAAGGTACAACTATAGGAGGAGATCTGAAGACCAGGCTCTGCAGGACAGAGCTTTCTTGGCCTGCACGAGGTAAGACACAGCATTCATGCACTTTTGGCATTGCTTATATGTACCATGTTGAGCTTTGGAACAGCAGCTGTAAGCTGGGCAGAGAAGGTACTTCTAGGGAGAATGCTTTATTGCTTGTATTCATGTGGATGAGAGGAAATGGCATTATATCATGCCAGGGGAGGCTCAGGAACAGGTTGCCTAGAGAGGTGATGGAATCACTATCCTTGGAGATGTTCAAGAACTTTGGAGATGTGAGACTGAAGGATATGGTTTAGCAGGCATGGGTTGTTGATTGGACTTGGTGATCTTAGAGGCCTTTTCCAACCCAAATGATTCTGTGATTCAAACACAGAGTTCACTGTGGCGAGGGAAGGGAGGAGGTACAGCCTTTCCAGGACCAAAGCTGAAATGTCTGAACAAGTCACCCACATGGTTGTCACCGAGGCACAAAGTTGGGATGTACTGTCACTCACCAGTTGGGCTCTCAGGGCTGCCAACAGATTTCCAGATGGCTCAGGCCAGCAAGTGGCCCAGCTCCAGCACTACAACTTAAGTTTGTACCCACTTAATCTTCACAGCACAGCCTGTGCTTCCTCACTTTCTGCAATAACCCACAGCTGTTTGTATTGCTTGTTCCTAGCATTAAAAAGGCATTTCAAGAAAAAAGTAGTACATCTGTGGAGACTGACATCACCAGCAGGAACGTATTTATGTTACAAGGGGCATTTCTAGGCATCAATAAGCTGGAACAACTCCACCAACATGTGGTGCGTTTACCTTTATGGAGGATGCACTGACATTTTTATGGACTGCCAAATCTATCCCATGGGTGAAAAAGGATGCAATAATGAGGGCCATTTAGTTATACAGTCATCATTAGCCATCATTTAAATGAGATATTAAAGTGGTGCCCTTGTGCCAACGCACAGTTAAGAACAGATCAGTGTTTCAGAGTTCAGTGAGAGCTGGAAATGGGAACAAGTTTCAGAATAGGAACACAGATTTGGAAGCCAGATTTCTACTTTCCTCCCACCTTTGTTGTTACTTGATTTCACCTTCCCCCATTACCGATTTGAGTATTCTGCAAACAAAAGTACAGGATCCTGCTCAGGTTCCTGTGCGTGCGTGGGCATTTTGTACCGCAACAAAGGAAAGAAAAGCATTTTAAGGAGGAGGAGAGCATAGCTCTTAAACCACAGGAATTGGCCCAAGGGCAGGTGTAATGCCTAAAATTGCTTGAAATTCAGTCAATAAAAAAGAGTTTAAAGTAATTTCTGTCTGTATAGCTTTACTATAACATCATTAGAGAGACCCTCCAATTAAAGTCGTAGCTTTTTAAATGACTCATTTGCAAGACATGTTCCTTTAGCGATGCTATGATTAAAAGTACTTCCAAAAGCCAACTGCAAGCCTTGTGCTCTCACCTTTTATGTTTCCACCCTCTGCTATTTATCTCATGCCGTGCTTTTTCCCCGTGTCTAGAGCCTCAGCTACTGGAGGTCAGCAGCTTTCTATCAAGCTGAGGTCTGGTCATTCAGGGGTTTTGCTATCTGGCAGGATAAAAGATTATTTGTGTGTAGAAGTTGATGCAGAGGCGTGATCATGGAGTTCAACTACATCACAGGCATCAAAGGTTATTATTTCAAGTGACTCAAAATGACCAATGATGTTCTGAGGTAACTTAGCAGGAATAATGACAAATAAATTTGCCTGAATACAAGATCACGTGAACAGTCATCAAAGTCAAAGGCCAAAAACCCCAGCCCCAAAACAAAAAAACTAGTAATCCAGTGAAATCTGGTGCACAAAAGATTGTGGGGCAGCATAGGATGCTAACGCCAGAGGTGCCCACATAGGGTCAAAACTCCTGTCTTGTTCCCTCAGAAGATTGAGCCACAGAAAGGAAAACTTGCATTTGACAGCTAAGATACTTCTTGTCGTTAACCACATCTTCCATTTGCTCTTCGGTTGTTCACTACAAGACTGCAGGTGTCCTAGAATCAGAATCATTAAGGTTGGAAAAGACCTGCAAGATCATCTAGTCCAATCATTACCTCCATGCCCACTAAGCTACGTCCCCCAGTGCCACATCTCCATGTTTCTTGAAAACCTCCAGGGACAGTGACTCTACCACCTCCTTGGGCAGCCATAGGCAACACTACTTTTTTAGACTAGAAACAGGGAAATGGTTCAACCAGAGCCATCATATGGGCTCTGAAAATTGTGGTAGGTGAACTGGCACATATGGCAGAGGCTTTGCTCATGCAGCCAAACAGCCAGAAGTCCTTTACAGAAAGAGCATGGGACAGAATGGTTTCATAGCTGTATTTGAGATTTGTATTTGTTTCAGAAAAAGAAGTTTATCTCCTGAAAACATATGGTTAATCTACAAATGAAGCCATTAAAGATTTCCATCAAAGTCTCTTACTGTAGATGCAGGAGAAATCGGTGGGTTACTAAGGGAGTATTACTCATTGCAGACAGAAAGCTGTCTTCAGAGGGGGTTAGCAACAGAGAAGATGTGTTGCTCTTACTCCTCCAACACATTACAACTGATTACCTTCACTGATTCAGCCCCATTAAGGATATGAGAAAGCCAACAGAAAACAGATATTTGCAGCTGAGGAAACTAGCAGTCATACAATCATAAAGGTTGGAAAGACTTCTAAGATCATCTCATCTAACCATCAACCCATCACCACCTTGCTCACCAAGTCAATGCATAGGAATTGGAAACAAACCACATGAGAAAGAAAATATTGTGTATGAGCTATTGGCATGGCAGGACTGGCTAGGCAGCTGGACACAAGGAAAACTGCTTCATTTTGTGCCTGTTACCCCCACAGAACCTTTAATCTCAGTATGGGTTTTGTTGTTATTGATTTATTTTTATTTTTATTTTTAAATGGAAATGCACCTGTATGCCATCAACAACCATGCAAATGTGCTGCTGTTGCCTATGGGGAGAGAAAGACAACAGCCAATTGGTGAAATATTTTGCATAAGTACTTATAGAAGTGTCAAAAACCTTATAACCACTTACAATTTATTGCTTTGGCACTTGAACTATGAAAGTATCGAAGGAGAAGGAAAGGGATTAGTGAACAGCGCAATTATAAGTCTGCTGCCACCCAAAGTCAAGTAAGAGTATAAATACAATCAGAAAGACCACAGAGATGGGATTTCAACCAAAGACCTTTCAGGTTTAGAACAACAAATATCTTTAATCAGATATGATTAAACAGAGTGTTATTTTCTTCTTTGGATTATACCTTCCCTGCTCCTTTATTTATTTATTTATTATACCTTACCCTTTTTCAGTGAACGCAATGCTTATTTCAGAGCACAGGAATGTCTACTGGATCTGTACTGCAAAGAACTGCTCACTTCAGAAAGACCGGAAAGCTCCTTCCACACACAGATTCTGTAGGAACAACAAATAGGGTGTCCCAGCTCTCCATCCAACCAAGCTATGTAAGCCTCTCACCTCTCAAACCTCTCTTGTGCACAGAAGTACTGGCAGTAACACACAATGGAGAGTGTTTGCAGCACAGAATCCTAACATGCCAAAGCCATTCAATTATTTGTGGTATTTGATCTCTGTGCAGAGCTATCCTATAATAGACATTGCTGCCTTTGAAGAGTCAGCAGTAATGACTCTGAAACAAACCTTAGTGAGGCCTGGTACTCAGCTCTCAGCTGGTTTTCTGAGAGAGAAAAGAATCGATGCAGAACAGTGAAACTCCTGGACAAAGCTGATTGTTACTGGTGGGTGCCTATCTGTAAAAGCTTCTGAGTTAACTCACCACCATCATGGAAAAAAAGGAAACTGCCACATTGGGCTGTTCTGTACAGCAGAAAAGTGCTCAGAAACAAACAAACAAAAAAACAAGTTTTCAGGATGCAGTGGATATGGGAAACTCAGTATAGCCAGGGTCAGATTGAAGTTGTGGCATTTCCATGCAGCCCTGACAGAGGTCAGACACACAGCAGAGTGGAGCAAGGGAGTTCAGCTGAAGCAGTGCTGCCTTCCCTTTCTGCAGGGCACAGTTCTTCTCAGATACTGCCATGCTAAATACATGACCTGCTCCTTATAAATATCCTTTTAAGAGAAGCAACTTCATGTTGTCACACATATATATACATATGTATGTATGTCATGCATATATACCTGTAAAGCAGTCTATAATCAGGACTGAGATATAATAGCCACTGCCAAAAATGAAACTGCGCTCACTGTGCACAAACCATCCATCAACATCACCCATTCCCCATTGCTCCCAAAGAGGGGAGATTTAGATTAGATATAAGGAAGAAGGTTTTGTTTTGTTTTACAATACAGGTGGAGAGGTGCTGGCACAGGTTAACAGAAAGGTTGTGGATGCCCCATCACTGGATACAGTCAAAGTCAGACTGGAGGGGCTTTGAGCACCTGCTGTACCCTGTTCCTCACAGAGGGATTGGATGGTCTTCAAGGGTCCCTTCCAACTCAAACAATTTTATGATTCAATCACCACCACTCACTGTAACCAGTACCCCAATGTAACTATGAGCAATCCAAAGGATTACCAGGGCACATTACTGCTCCATCACATGCAAACCAACCATGATTCCAACAGAAGTAACACATGCACAGCACAGATAAAAGGAGACTGCGGAAAGCATATATTAATTACTCCACTTCCCTCATATGGCACTCAGATATCACCCAGGAGAGAGCTGTACAGATAAAGCAGTCATTACAACACACTGCGCACTGCATCCCCAAGCACACAAGCGTCGCCGCAGGACACGTTACTTTCTTCATCTCCGCGTTCCCCGAGCACAGGGCAGCAGCGCCCATTCCATCCCTTCGCTCCCTCAGCCGCCGCTCACCTGCAGCCCTCGGGCGGAACCCTCGCACGGTGTTCCCGCGCCGGAGGTGCGGGGCGGGCGGCTCTCGGGGCGGCTCCGCAGGACCCGCGCTGTACTGCGCGTAAAGGCGCAGCATATGCTCCGACACCTTGTCCCCCGGCTGCAGCCCGTGGTCACCTGCTCTCTCCCGGCCGCCCCAAGCAGCCCTCCGCCGCAGCCCGGCCCAGCGTGCCCGCAGCACGTCCCCCGGAGTCAGGCATAGGCAGCCCAGGCACAAGCACAGCACCCAGCGGGCCGGAGCCGCCATCGTGTACCCCGGCACTCGAGACGAGGTGTGCGGGAAGCTCAGAGCCGCGGACTGGTCTTTTCGGGGGTTAAAAAAAAAAAAAAAAAAAAAAAAAAAAAAAAAAAAAAAA